AAGGAATCCTATCCTCCTTGTGTCGGTGCAGGCTTTAGGCGCTGCCTGTTTGGTCAACAAGCAACAGTGGGTGGTCGGACTGTAGCACAGAACAAGGGCCTGCTGTGAGCAGGAAAAAATGTTCAAAGGTGTTTAAGGGCGGTGAGGAAGTCTGCTGCCCTTCAGAGACTCCAAGAGCTATAGATCAGTGTTTCTTCTCAGCTATTGTAGCTTTTGTGCAAGCTTGCTCTATGGTGTGCAAGGAAATACAGTACCGTTTTTTACATTCTGGGTACATCTGGACACCTTTCATGAATTTTATGTACATATCACAAGGTTCCATTAATAACTCTGCTGTGGCATTTTCTTTATCTGACAAACTTTGCTTTATATAAGTGAAGATCGTGTTAGATAAGAAAAAAATGTCTACTAAAATTAAGATACTAAATAGTTAATGGCAGCTTGTCAGTATTTTTATTCTAAGACAAATAGAAGTAAACTTCTGTTCTCAGCTCTATCACCACTTCAGACTGTTCATTTTATTTATCATACTTAGGACAAACTAGACTGAGAGTTAAGGGAAATTGCTGTAGATTTAATATAAATATATTCTGGCAAAAACAAAATTGCAACCAAATGTTTGTTCAGTGTTTTTTTTTTCAAAACTTAAATCTAAATACGTTGAAGTTAATTACTCCTATTGAGACTAGACATCCAGCAAATTTACCATACTAAGAGAGACTGTCAATTGCGTAACTCTTGCCCAAACTATTATCTAGCAAATTTGTATCTAATTGACTCTGAGCAAAATACCTGCAGACTGTTCAAAGCTCTTGAGATTAATATGTTAAATTAGGGAGCAAATTTGGACTGGTATTGAAGTCTTCACATACAAATATGTTATGTGGGTTGTATAAGTGTGATACATTTATTAGTGTATGTGCATACATATGTTTGGATTTGGATGCCATTGAGACTGCCTGTGACTTTATCAAGTATCAGAAATATTTATTTTGATGGACGCATAGCATTTATACCACGGAAACAGTTACTAGCAGAGTGTTTATGGGGCATGGACAGAGCCCCAGAGTCCTCATTGTCATTCAGTGTTGTGTATTCCTTGACCATTTGCCACAGGTCATGTACAAAAAGAAATTCCTCCTCACACACCGCAAGTCCAGACCAAAAACACATGTGTAAGCACAGGATATAGAACATTATACAGTATATGTAGATTACAGTACCTATAAATGTAATTTTAAGTACTATACAAAAAGCTTAAAAAGTAGCCATGTTAGCTAGCATATCAGGGAAAAACAAAAGAAAAATAAAAAAATCAAGAAGACAAAAATGTTGTGGTAGTTAGCATATCAGGGAAAAACAAAAGAAAAACAAAAGAATCAAGAAGACAAAGACTGTCTGAAGAAGTGGACTTGTCAATTAGCATATCAGGGAAAAACAAAAGAAAAACAAAAGAATCAAGAAGACAAAGACTGTCTGAAGAAGTGGACTTGTCAAGTGCTATACTTTAATGCAAGCTTTCGTGGACAAGACTGTCTGAAGAAGTGGACTTGTCAACAAAAAGCTCACATTAAAATATATCAGTTAGTCTTTAAGGTGCCACACTGTTTTTGCCTTCTTGATTTTTCTGAATATATATATATATATATTTCCTAATATACAAAAGCTAAAAAGAATCCATTTAAAAAAGTGTGCATTTCCAATCAGGTGAGCCAACTGGCACATTGTTTGTAGACATGCTTTTGTCTTAAATACATCTTACGTTTCCTGGTTACATTTCGGTATAGTGAGCCTGTTTTCATGCAAGCAGCAGTTTAGGAACATTCCAGACAGTAAGAATGTCATAATGCCCTTTCTTTCAGTATATGGTATACCCAAACACTGTGTGTCCATGTACTTGTGGAATCATTTGAATTGTTAATGCAGTAATATCTTCACAGTTTAGCAGGGGGGAAAGTAATTGCGATTGTTGGGTTCTTGAAATAGTATTATGCAGTTTTAAATGCCCACACTTTTTGTTACAGTGTGTGTGTGTGTGTGAGGGAGATACAGATTGGAATACTGATTTATGCAGTAAATTCTTTTTCTACACTCCAATATGTAGTCCTGAAGCGCTATCTCCTGGACAACATGGAAAACAGTCAGCTTTGCTAATGCACTCCAGATGTTCATTAGTCCTGAGGGTATATCTGCTGTTATAGTTCCCTGCTCCTGTGTTATACTTTCTTGTAATGCTAGACAACCAATTAAGAAATTAGTTTCATGTTAAACTTTCTTTTCCTGGTACCACTGCAAACTGATGATGTGGTTTCTGGTGGAACAAGAGAGTATTCTTTGGCCCTGTTTTCTATTATTGTTGAATAAACAAACCATTGGACGTGGCAGGGGGTGTTTGTTTTTGTTTTCATTGCTGGAGTCACCATTTAGTGTATTCATCCCCTCATCATATCAATCCAGTGTGAAAGAAGGAATTTGAGTGGATAATACAAAGGATCATTTTTTAAGTTAGTGTGTACTTTATAAAATAGCATAGCAGGGATGAGATCCTAATTACAGTAAATTTTTTGCATCTGATTCAGGCAGCGCATAAATAAAAGATCCAGTAATTAAGAAGTCTATTTCAAAATCAGAAGCACATAGTCTTTCTTTCTATAAATACCAACTACTTCTCAAAACCTGCAGTGTAAGATACATGTTCCAAAAACTTTTTTTAAGTTTCTAAAAAATGTTGTTACAATGCTTTAAAAGTTGGTTATAGTGTAAATATATGGAGAAAGAATCTATGTAATTTTAATGTATGGAGAAGTGTATTTCAGTTGAAAACACTCTTGCCAACTGAATAATTCTTTTTTTTTCTTAACTTTTTTCTTTCAACGATTTCAGGAAATTTACAGATTATTTGGCTTAGTTTTAGGATCCTGAGCCAAAACCATGTATATATGTAAAAATGAGTGATTCAAAGCATTTTGAATTTCAACAGGGTTTCTAGAATACCCTTGTGAATTTGGGTTGAAGGGGAAAATATCATAATTAGTATGCTTTCCTTTTTGTTTGATTGATTTGGTTTTCCTGTTTAAAAGAGGTTAGGTTAATGGTAATTTAATTAGCTTAAAAGTCATTCTGAAAATGCTAGTTGAATCTCAACATTCCTAGTAAATAAATCTATAGGAATAGATGTGTTTTTCAAGTGATCTTGCAAATTATATGTTTACTATGTTTTCTTGTACAGCATAGATGCCTGAGTTTTATCCTAAGCATTGTTTTTATGCAATATTGCCATTAAACAACTTGTCTAGTTTGAATGATAATTCCTTGTAGGGGAACAGTTTCTTTGGACTTGTTGCTTTTAGACATGAAGAATAAGATCTCTAAGCTGGCATATAGTTTTTGCTTAGAAGGCCATGTAGTACTACATATACATTGCACATATTTTAAAAAAAATTAAAAAGCATTCAGATTAATATTTATGGCACTTAAAATACAGTTGTACTTGACTCCTACAAACATGGAAATTTTACTCAAAATATTTTGTTTGTTTCGTCGGTCGTTCAGTCAGTTGGTTGGACACACAGATGCTTCAGTAACACATTATAATCCTCAAAATAGAGGCTGCTTACGCCAGGATGGGCCTATTATGTCATCCATTGGTTCTGCAGGCTTGTCTGTCAGCAGTTGCAGAAGAATCTTTCTGTGCTTAAACAAGACCAAACTAAGTATAGCAGGGAGACATATATTTTATATATTTCCTAGTCACATAAGAAGCAGGAAGAGGGGTTCTTTTCTTCTTGAAACAGAGAGTGCGGCCAAGGGAAGTCAGCCCAGACCTGCTTTACTTTCTTAGATGGTTGTGGTTTCCACAGATATTTTTCTTTAACCCAGCTCAATTGTCATAGTGAAGGTGGACCAGGAGACAATACTAAAATTGTGGTGGGTAGTTAAGGAAGAGTTTGAGGAAAGTTAAGCAAAAGCTAATTTGAATTTCGTTGTTGAGCAGGGAATCAAAATGGATCAGTCTTGGATTAGTGTGTGCTAATCCAATCTAAGTAATAGCTATTCAGATAGTAAAGTTACCAGACTGTAGGGTTTTTTCTTTTTTTTAAAATACCAATTTGTATTTGTTCCTCATTTATTGCATACAGTTTTATTTGTATCATCTTATGTTTAGTTGCAGGAATACTATGTGTATGAAGTTACTGAAAGTGCTAGATATGTTGTGTTATCTGTGAAAATGGCTCTTCCCCTAAATCATATTTGTAATTGTGGTGTAGACTGTAAGTGCACAGCTGTCGGGTGCTTTGAGAGCATAGGTTGTGATATGGCTTTCCTCTCTTTTCAACCACTTTTCCTTAATTGCTCAAATATGTAGGTTGATTTGAGGTTATGAATTTCCCCACTCCAACCTCCAGACTGCCTGAATCAAGACTAGTATTTTTAGATGGATGGATGCTTGGATACTTAAGCATTCCAAAACTGCTCTGTCCAAAGTTCATTTTAATGTGAATTTAATGAGAAAACAGTTACTCTATAGGCTTTGGCCCAAATCCTCTTCTGCAGTTATATGTGCAGATGGCAAACAGTATAACTCACATCACTTCCTTGCTGCTAATTAATAAATCCCTGTTTGAATTTTCACTAGTCTGTTGGGTTGACGCATGCCTGGAACCCCAAGCAGGGACTCCACTTCCCAATGTGAATTTGCTGTGAGTTACATAGTTTGCCTTCCGCCAGCATATCTGCCCGATGTGATTTTGGTCATTGTCTCTTCAAATGACAGCTTTTCTTCTCTTCATTTTCTGTTACTTGTAAAAAGTACATGCAACTTATAATATTGACATCTAGTTTTGGTAGGTAGTTATAGGTTCTATCTGTCTTTACCAGGATGCCTCTGTTTCATTTATAGACTCTGGCATTAGGTTACTGATTTTAGTACTCATCAGAATCATCAGATATCCAATTTCAATGATTATGCCACTCTTTCTCTCCCCTTTTCTCCTGGCTAGTTAATCCATTACTGCAAAGCCCTATGGTGGATCTAGATGGTGAAACACGCCCGTCTTCACTTGGTCATCTCAGTCGGAGTGCATCATTGAAAAGAGGCGGCAGCAATCAGTCTAGTCGTGATGAAGGTAGGTGCTGAGGTTTTATTTCCTGTTTTCCTTCCAAAGGAATAGTATTACTATTTGATGAAGCCTCTCTCCCTTATATATGTAATATACTGAATAGGAAACTGAGTCTGGTTCAGGCTCAGAAATGCCTGGTTCAGACCTCAGATCTGCCATGCAGTTTACTAGGGGGATTTAGCACAGCTTCCTAATTTCATGATATTTCAGCTTCAGTTTTCCACTGGAAGAATTACAGTAAAATAATGTAAGTCATGTGATTTAAATAAAGAGCCATGTAAATGTTGCACATTGTTATTGCTTTATTAATAATGGCAATTCTCTCCTTCCTGTACAGCAGAGTTTGAAACTTCTAAGAAGTTAGATTAATTTCTCTGCTCTTAACTTGCTGAGTCAAACTTGATGAAGATCAACTAAGCTCCCTTCTCAATAAGAACATCCCTGCATTTCGTAAAGCAGGAGTGGGCAATTTGTGGCTTCCAGATGTTGTTGCAGTGTAGCTACCATCAGACTTACCCAGTACAGCCAGTGGTGAAAAATGATAAGAGCTGCTGTTCAAAAGTGTCTAGAGGGGCATTTGTTTCCCATCCCTGACCTGAAGCTGAGCTTGAGAAAGAAGCAGGTCACAGTGGTCTAAGGCCCCATGCTTTTCTATTAATTAATATGTTTATGTGTCTCTATATTTGGCAGCAAGGTTCCAGCTGATGCACAGTATCATGATTGTATGACCTTAATATTGAAAGATCTACACTGGTTGCCAGTTGCTTACTGGGCTCAGTTCAAGATTATGGTATTAACCTTTAAAGCTCAGTCTAAACGGCTTAGGATTTGGCTATCTAATGGACTGCTTGAGGCCTTCTTAAAATACCAACAGTTTTAGAAGCGTGGAGAGGGTCTTCTCATGTGCAGCTCTCAAGATACAGAATACACTCTCTTCTGAGTTATGATCTAATTCCACTCTGTTGATTTTAAGAAGGGGAAATGTGTCTTTTTAGACTGGTACATGATATCTGTGTTGTTTTTAATCTGCATCTTTTCTTGATTTTAATGTATTTGCTTAATTTTTTATGGTGGAGCTGGTTTATATTATATATTTTTTTAAAAAAAGGATTTTATCTGGTTTTGTTCTTTTAAAAGTTTGTAAGCTTACCTTAGCAACTACCTTTTAGTAGAAAAGCACCATATAAATGTCATAGATACATGTATGATAAAAATGATTCCTTTTACATGATTTTGCAATAAACTTTTGATTTGTTTGCTTTTTTAAAGCTTGGAGATTTAAAGCTCCTCAGCAAGTAGCATTTGTTGAAAAGCTAACAAAGCTTGTTGTGAGCCAGCTCCCTAACTTCTGGAAACTGTGGATTTCCTATGTGAATGGGAGCCTCTTTAGTGAGGTATGGTCTTTTCATCTATACTTTGCAGTGGTTCCATTGTATGGACTCCTATGAACGATCTAAAATAAAGCCTCACTTTCTCAGTCTTCCTTTTTTTATATAATCAGAAAGCTTCACCCTGTGTTCCATCCTCTGTTGTTAGCCAAATGATTAAGTTCTGTGAAGGTGTAGAGAAGACTATATTGACTGAGGTACCTAGAAGTGTCACAGTAGGTTACTGGAGGCTATTGTGTTTGATGGATCAGAAGGTGTGCTAGTCAATAATGGATGGAGCTAGGCAGAAATGGGGCAGAAGTGAGTCATCATGTGTGCACACTCGCATGGGCAGTCAGGTATTCACTTAAATTTTGTCTTGTTCAACATCTAGGTCACCTTTAAGTACCTTAAGGTTTAAATACCTTAAAGTGGTATCCACATGGGGAAGTATGGTGAGGGGAGCATACGCAGAACTAGCGTCTCAAATTCTGTTCCATTTCACTCTGCGCATCGTTCTTATGGTTTGACCTGAACAGTTAAACCCACACAAATACTGTCATGAAAGTCCCCACCACCACTAAATGCCAGTATCCAGTCATAAAGGTGGTGAACATGAAAGAGAAGCACCAGTAATGAAGAAGCTTTCTCAGAAGATGACCTGAGGTTTTTTTTTTTAACCAATTAAAGATTGCCATGGTTTTTCAGCATGCTTGGAAGGTGGTAGCTGAGTGGAGCGTTAGCTCAGCATGCATTGAACGTGCAAAATCCAACCGTTGGACTTAACCACAGATGTCTGTACAGGAAGGGGTTAACCTATTCATCAAAATGGGTGGAGGGAAGGGAAAAAATTTACTTTCAGTATACTTTTCAGTGTGCATAGAAATAATAGTGTTATAAAGCTAGGAATATCCACCAACCAGTGTTATAAAGCTAGGAATATCCACCCATTCCCCTGATCAGGTTGATGATACATTGGGCAGGAATTGAGCAAAATAAGTTCAACAGAATAATTTAAGTAAAAAAGTGTGCAGACAGGATATGTTGAATTAGTTTTCTGTGTTTAGCAAAACATATAAATGGGACAGCACTTGGTTTCATTCTCAGTAGACAGAATAGTACTTCAGAAACTAAAGGATTGTTGCATCGTAAAAAGCATTTTTTAAGCTTACTTCAAATGCATTGTGTATTCTTGGAATATATAAAATAAAAAGTGTTGTACCTGTTTCAGTGCTGGCAACTGAAGTAATCTCCTAAAAACACCAGACAAGAAATCATTTTTCTTTGCAAATTAAAAGAACACGCTTTTTTCTTGTCTTATATCTTTTCTCCTTTGGTGTCATTCATACATTACATTATGATTATTCTTGGAAATAGCTTTAATTATAAAATATAGTTACAGCACTGGTTCTTAACCTTGGGTTACTCAGGAGTTTTGGACTGCAACTCCCAGAAGCCTTCACCACCAGCTGTCCTGACTGGGGTTTCTGGGAGTTGCAGTTCAAAAGCATCCAAGTAACAAAGGTTAAGAACCACTGGTTACAGTGAGTTATTTAAAAATATATTTTAGAATAACTTTGAAGTACTGAAAGTCTTCATGGAAGAATTATCACTAAAAATGTGTTTTTGTCTTCTTATTTTGGCAAAATGTACTGAAACATGAACCTAGACTTGAACTATCCTTTCTGCTTTGTGAAATATTCTTACACGAATCACATTCTGGGCACTGTTGCTATAAAATGAAATTCACAGGGATGCTGGCATGTTCTTGATTTGTTAATAACATTTATTTAATGTTATGTTTTGCAAGACTGCTGAGAAATCAGGACAAATGGAAAGATCGAAGAAAAACGCTAGACAAAGGCAAAATGATTTTAAGGTAAGCTACTGTAGGTATACAGAAACACACACTGGAAAGGTGCAAAGCCTTTTGGAAGCCAAAAATGCAATAATATTTGAAGTCTTCTTGCACAAATATTTTTAATCTTATGTTTCATTGAGATTGATCAATGAGGCACGTAGTCTTCCACACATTCCAACTGCTTCTTCTTTCTCATATAAGTCCTAAGCAACAGTAACTTTAAAAGCCCTCAAGGATCTCATTTTTAGCATGCCTGGCACCTCTTTCATTAATCTGCTGACTAGCACAGTAAACTGAATAGGAAGGAATTGGCTATCTTTGCAACAATGGATTCATTTTAAGAGTACATCTGTCCTGTTGTCAGTGGCTGAGATCCTGCTGGGTAACTTATGCTTGCATAAGCGGAATTGTATCACTGGCAGTGGCTAATTAAAGAGACCCATTTTGATTCCATATTGCTTCAACCTTGTCTCATTGCATGCAACCCAGAATAAAAGCAGGGACTCTTTAATTAGCAGCAATCTGCTGTCACTGGTGTTATCATTTCCCCTACAGTGGCAAAAGTTGCATAAGAGGATTTTGGTCAATATGTATAATGGCCTGCCCTTCTATACAGTGGTGCCTCACACAACGATGTTAATTGGTTCCAAAAAAATCAACGTTGTGTGAAACATCATTCTGTGAAACACCATTTCCCATAGGAATGCATTGAAAACCGGTTAATCCGTTCCAATTGGAACGGATTGCCATCGCTGAGTGAAAAGGGCTCTTTGATCTCCATTTGCCTTTTAAAGCTCTTCCCGATCTCCCTTTTCGC